TTTGTTTTTATCTATTCACAAATGCTTTACACAGAACAAGAGATACTGGAACAGTGATATATAGATACGACGTACAAAATGATATCTGTTATTATGAGCTAATTTTTTGTCAACAACGTTTCGGACTGATTGTTGTGCCGTTCTAAACACAGCTTTATGTTTTGGACATTTTATTGTCGACAACGTTACCGATAGATTGTTGTGCCGTTCTAAACACAGCTTTATGTTTTGGACATCTTATTGTCGACAACGTTTCGGACTGATTGTTGTGCCGTTCTAAACACAGCTTTATGTTTTGGATATTTTATTGTAGACAACGTTACCGATAGATTGTTGTGTCGTTCTAAACACAGCTTTATGTTTTGGATATTTTATTGTAGACAACGTTTCAAACAGATTGTTGTGTCGTTCTAAACACAGCTTTATGTTTTGGTTATTTTTTGTCGACAACGTTTCGGACAAATTGTTGTGCCGTTCTGAACGCAGCTTTATTTTTCGATATTGCGATGTTTCCTGTGGCACGTCTGGTTTAATCTACCTATATATCTATCACCTGGTGGATCATAGTTCAGCTTGAGGATTTACTAAGTTAAAATCTGGGATTTGATTTCTTGTGGTGGACAGAATGCAGATAGCCTATTAGAACGTTGGACTTAACGCTAAAATAAACAAAAACAATATCAAAATATCTTGAAAATGTTCAATTCTTTAATCATCATAAACTAAAATCTTTGTAATCGTGATTATTATTATTACAGATAGATAGTCAATGAGAAAAACAACAACGGCAATTCTGATATCACACTATAGTCTCAACACAGGTAGGAGGGTTGGAGTAATGCATAACTGAAAACATTATTCGGAAATCCTCGAATACATAATACTTGACTTCTAACTTACAAATATTACGGTATATTGTCAGTGTTTATCATGACAGATAGAATACTGTTTTATATATATTAAAACAATACTTTCTCATTTCCCTTTCTTATATCCCATAAATGTCGTATTTGATTTGTTTTGAATTTCGTGCAAAGCTACACGAGAGCTATCTGCGCTAGCCGTCCCTAATTTAGCAGTGTAAGACTAGAGGGAGGGCAGCTAGTCATCATCACCCACCTCTAACTCTTGGGCTTCTCTTTTTCCAACGAATAGTGAGATTGATCGTAACGTTATAATGTCCCCACGGTTGAAAAGGAGAGCATGTTTGGTAGGAAGGAGGTTCGAACCCGCGACCCTCAGATTGCTAGCCAAGCGCTCTAATTATTAGGCCATGCCGGGCCTCGTATTTGATGTTTAAAAACGAGAAACCTGAAACAAAGTAAATACAAAAAACCGGTAAGAACACGTGTAAACTGGTGTAGAATGGACAATTATCTGGTGATGTGATATTTATTGTGGGGACGATTGGGTGCAGAAGACGTAAAAGAAAGTGAATACCTGGAACTTAATTAGATAAAATTTAAAGAGAAAGAGGTACATTGTTAAACTCGTGAAAAAAGATATAAACGATACTTATTTCAGACTAACAGTTTAATTTCTTTTAAGAACACGAACCAAGGAACAGTTTGATATTGTTGCAGGGAGGAGAAATAGTATTATGTTTGGTGATTCCGGTTCTATTCAGGAATTTATGCAACATGCCAATATACTCGAAGAAGACATTTTTTAAGGCTACTATGAACCGATAAAGATTCGGACTGTGATGAACATACAGTTAACGAAACTAGGAGAAAATGTAACGTTTTAGCAGTAATTGTTTGTTTTTGAATTTCGCGCAAAGCTACACTAGGGCTATCTGCGCTAGCCGTCCCTAATTTAGCAGTGTAAGACTAGAGGGAAGGCAGCTAGTCATCACCACCCACCGCCAACTCTTGGGCTACTCTTTTACCAACGAATAGTGGGACTGACCGTCACATTATAACGCCCCCACGGCTGAAAGGGCGAGCATGTTTGGTGTGACAAGGATTCGAACCCGCGACCCTCAGATTGTGAGTCGAGTGCCTTAACCACCTGGCCATGCCGGGCTTTAGCAGTAATTAACGCGGGTGCTTATTCTACCTGTGATTAGTTGAGGAAATGACACGCATTTCAGTTATTTAAAAATAAAATTTTCGCACGCTACCGAAATAAAAAAGCCTAATCAGGATAGGTGAGTTTCATCCTTCGCTCTAGACAGTGAAAGGTTTGTTTGATATTAAGCACAAAGCTACACAAAGGGCTATCTGTGCTCTGCCAACCGCAAGTATCGAAACCCGATGTTTAACTTTATAAGTCTTTTTACATACCGCTGAACCACCGTGAGACATGGTGAAAGAACCAATACGACTGCGCGTCTTTCTTAAACGACATCGACCAATCATAATTTATAGCATTTTATATGTAATTTTCTAGTATCAGTTTAATTATTACATATATATTTAACTAATATTTACAATTTAATCTACGACTATTTTTATTTAGTTTATTTACAGACGCAATTTAAAGTTTGTTAACTCTTTAATGTAACCGCCTTTCTAGTATATATATATATCGCTAAGGAACTTTATTGATATACTGTAGGTAAAGTTGCTTAATCAATGCATAATTTTTGCGATTAAGATAAGTAGTTTGAATGCAGTTTGAGTGAAATCAGCAACGTAAGTACGATACGGCTGTTTGGCCTAGAATGTTAATCAAATAAGATACACAGAATTTGTGCAATTGAGTAATATGTGGTTTTGGGATTTTAGTTGTTTTTATAACTTGAATTACGTCATTTAGTTATGGCATACTTGCTTAAGTTTGTGATAATCCTTATTATTTAGTTATGGCATACTTGCTTATGTTTGTGATAATACTTATTATTTACTTATAACATACTTGCTTATGTTTGTGATAATCCTTATTATTTAGTTATGGCATACTTGCTTATGTTTGTGATAATCCTTATTATTTAGTTATGGCATACTTGCTTATGTTTGTGATAATCCTTATTATTTAGTTATAACATACTTGTTTATGTTTGTGATAATGCTTATTATTTAGTTATGGCATACTTGCTTATGTTTGTGGTAATGCTTATTATTTAGTTATGGCATACTTGCTTATGTTTGTGGTAATGCTCATTCCTTTATTTTCTAACATACGAAAACACTTCCTTTCGTAGGGTCAAAGTTTTGTTATCTTGTTAACAAGTCTTAACATAAAAAAACAGCTCACGCATCAAGTCAAAATTAATCTAGATTCAGTTTACTTTGGTTTTCCGAAAGATTGTCATAATGAGCTCACTTTTGAAAATATTGTAATTTCCCTTCATATTGTTACACCCTGTTTTAAGTAAATGTTAAAAGTGACACATAAAAACTGTTTATAGCTGTTGTTTCTGGTTACTTGATTGCGTTTTATTTTTCGAGATCTCACTAAATGTTCTCAGTACAAGATAAAATATGAAATGTATTGTGTAATCCCGCCGGAGATGACGTCAAAATTCCAACTCCTTACGTGATAGAGTAAAATATTTTACGCAATCCTTTCGTCCTAACAGTCCAAACCAATCAAATGTAATTTTAATACTTCAAATTCAATGGGATTCGCAAACTTATCATTTGTCACAATCGGAGGTTGTAATTGTAGCAACTGTTCATTCATGGTTATAATGACATTGACTAAAAATTGTCTATGAACTCAATTAAATAGTAAAAAATACGGTTAAAATATAAGTTACAAAACATTGTTCACAGATCTCTGTTCTTGGGAATATATATATATCCAATAAATTTTCTTGAAGATTCTATTTGATTAATGTTTCTTTTTCTGTTTCTTTAAGCACAAAGCTACACAATGGGCTATCTATCTGTGCTCTCTCTCCACAGCGGGTATCGAAACGTGGTTTTTAGTGTTATGAGCACCCAGACTCTCCTCTTAGCCACCTGAGAACTAATGATTATGTTGTTGTTGTTTTATTAGTGCAGAAAGTATGCTATGGGCTATCTGCACTCTGTTGATCGCGAGGAATCGAGCCCCAAATTATAGCGTTTTAAGTCCGTAAACCTACAGCTGACCCATCGTATGATGATTAGCACTGCCACTGTAAAGGAAAGGTAATATGTTCGATTCGGTTAATTTATCTCTCCATGCAGACCACAGCGACACTGACGGTGTATTATGTCGTTAAACAAGTTCTCCGTCTTTGAATCTTTTGGTCTGTTGAGTTTAGAGGTTAGTTTGATGTTTTCATTTTGTAGTCTTTTGTTGATTTTTACTTTTATTGTGTTCTAGCAAAAGGTATTGATTTATTGACAAAAAAAGTAGTATTGTTGATAATACTTCAGACGTTTCTATAAAATATTGTAGTGTGGTTGGTAATGTACATCCATCTTTCCGTTGTAGTACGTATTGCCTATCATTTTGTTTTACTTAATACCACTCATCTTTTGCCTATCTTTCTATGGTAATATGATGAATAGCATCGTCTGTCTTTCCATCTTATGAGGTTGATAATATCGTTTTTCGTTGTAGTATGTTTGATAATGTTGCTCATCCTTTCGTTGTAGTATTGTTGACAATACCGCCAATTTTTCCATTTTAGTGTTGTTTATGATATGTAATATCGTTCATCTCTGTGTTGTAGTATCGTCGAGAATGCTTCCGACGTTTCCGTTGTAATGTGATTGATAATATCGCCCATCTTTCCTTTGTAGTGTGGTTAATAATATAACTCATCTTTCTTTTGTAATATGGTTGACAGTGTTGCCCACTTTTCTGTTATGGTTAACAATATCCTCTATTTTTTCTGTTTTAGTATATATGATTAACAATATCGCTCATTCTTTCGTTTTTTATTGTTTTTATCTATCAGTTTGCGTTAAGTCTTTTGAATAGTAGGCTATTTACGATAATATAATTAGCTAGGCATCTCTAAATGGGGAAAATAACAAAGAGTTGAATGATTTATAATTGTATTTTCATAGTAACAGAATGCTCTACTGAGCCTTTTGCTGTGGTAATAATTTTTACAGGTGATTCAGCCATCAACTTGCTAGACCAGAGTAATAATTCATCCATGTCATTTCAAAGAATTCATGTTTCTAACGAATCCCTCCCAGATGTGGTCCAAACACCATCTGCAAATCCTCTTGTCCAATCACGCAACCGGTCTCAATCATTGACCGAAAGGGTACAGGAAGTGGGGTACATTTTGAAGAGAATTAGTAGAGAATTTGAAGAATCTTATGAGGTAAGTACACAAATTTCTCACTTGTTAACCCCAGTTGTAATTGTTTGTGTTTATCAAAGTAGTTTGAAAATCAAACACTTGAATAAAACTTCTAGAAAATGTTTAATATGCTTAAAGTTTTAATAACTCAAATTGAACCTCAATAATGAACAGGTGCGATGTTTGCTCTCATGATATTTTTATTTCAAAACAATTATATTCATAATGTAGATAGTTTACATTTAACAACCTAAGATGAACGATTTGGTATTTTCAATCTACACAGTTAAGAGTATGAAGTATGTTTAGCTCAGAGTATTAAGCATGTTTAGCTGAGAGTATGAAGTGTTTATTATATTCATAATGTAGATAGTTTACATTTAACAACCTAAGATGAACGATTTGGTATTTTCAATCTACACAGTTAAGAGTATGAAGTATGTTTAGCTCAGAGTATTAAGCATGTTTAGCTGAGAGTATGAAGTGTTTAGTTGAGAGTATGAACTATGTTTAGCTCAGAGTATTAAGTATGTTTAGCTGAGAGTATGAAGTGTTTAGTTGAGAGTATGAAGTATGTTTAGCTCAGAATATTAAGTATATTTAGCTGAGAGTATGAAGTATGTTTAGCTGAGAGTATGAAGTGTTTAGTTAAGAGTATGAAGTATGTTTAGCTCAGAGTATTAAGTATGTTTAGCTCAGAGTATGAAGTTCGTTTAGCTCAAAGTATGAAGTGTTTAGTTGAGAGTATGAAGCATGTTTAGCTCAGAGTATTAAGTATGTTTAGCTCAGAGCATGAAGTATGTTTAACTCAAAGTACGAAGTATGTTTAGCGGCTCAATACGGTTCGAACTTTGGATACTTCCAAATGTAGTTGTGAAAAGCCCGAGAAATACATATTTTATAAAAAGTTGGAGAAATATTCATTCTTTATTTTCGTTTAATGATTTACAATATATTATTTGATGCCGAGGGTAATGCAACTATTTTATTGTGTGACCAAACGATCTTAGTGTGTATCTGTGACCAAAATACGTTTAAAAATAATTTTTTCAGAGTGTTACAACTTAACACCAAGCCGTATCACTTCAATAGGGTAGGCTTAGCGATTCAAAAATCCTATAACATGTAGTTAAATTATACTACATATTAAAGCAAAATACTCCTAACTTCGGTGTGCCAGTAGGACTATAAAAATTATATTCAAATGCCATACACTTTCAATAATTTATCGAAATATTTCCAAGATAGATAACATTTAATAGAATATTAACACACTTACGCTAAAGACGTTACCTTAAGAGGGCAATGCAATAAAAATGTATAAATGTATAGGCATCCATTTCTTTTCTATTTCCCTGCTGTACGAAATACTTAGAAACAGCATTTTAACAACCTCCAGACTTCTCGACTTTTTTCTAGGAATAGAAATCGTATTGATTGGTCGGCAAACCACAGCTGCAGAACGAAAATCGGGGAAATTTCCCCCCTCCCAGTTAATGTGTTTTTTATATCGTTCTTTAACTTATTAATTTCTAACTTACTTTCTAGGACACTTCGATAGAAATGGTTGTTGATAAGAGTTACGTTGACAAATGTATGTTATTTCCACAGAGCGAAATTGTGCAGGAAAGAGAGAATTGCCCTATGCTACAACCAAGAGCAGATGACGAACAAGCAAATAGGTGTCACAGTTCCTCTACCAACGATGCTCCTATTTCTCCTCAGTGACTTTTGGCCCTAACAAGATTGGCCTTCGTACAGCTTCCTTTCGCCAGATCAACAGACTCGGCAATGAAAGGATATCTCTCTAGTTAATTAGCTATATATTTATGAACGTATATGATTAAGGAAACAACGCAATGGATGATTGTTTAAAAACTGGCGTTGATATTTATCGAGTAGTTTTAGAACTGCTTTGCTCAAACCACAAGAAAACATCTGTTACTGTTCAATATTAAGTTATTTTTTTCGTGGTGTTGAAGTGTGAGTTAAGAAAAGTCATCGAACACTTTAGATATGACTCTCCATAATATATGAGATATTGTTATCTTACAACACGTGAAATCAATATTCAAGTGTTTTATTATAGAAAATTAAACGTCGCATCAAACCAAGACTTTACATGCATTATCTTCAGACGGGCATGTATGGATTTGACGACATAAGGGTCAGCTCACAATTGTATCCTCGAGTTTTGAATGAATATCATTGTGACGCTGTACAGAAGCAAGATCATGTGGCTTTTCAGCTAGTGACATAGCCTGTAAGGGTCTATGAGCCAAATTGATAATATATTTTCTCAGAGTTCTCTGTAAGGGGAAACATATTTATCTGTAAGTTTCGTCAAGGAATAAGTAAACTTATAGAGCAATGTGTGATATCTTCTGTCCGCCATATCGTTTGGCAATTAAAATACCTCAGTTCTCGACACCAGCGACACCTTAAGACCTTTTTCTGTAGGTTTCCACCAAGCACTCAACAAACAAGATTTGTATTACAATCATTGTTTGGTAGTTCAAGTGTCTTCAAAAACTGTCTGATTTAGTCATTAATATGCTTATATAATGTTTCATGTATCTCGTTTTACTACTCTAAAACTTAAATAAATAGGCAATTAGTTTTCATCACGGAGAACAGACAAGTGATTTTTTCATCACTCATAACATTCCACACTCATTTCATATTATGTGGTAATATATTGTTTTTCGTTTTATTATAAAGTTTTGGCTCACTTTCTGTAATTTCTTATTTACATTTTAGTTGCACACACAGAAGCTTTGAAACGTCTTTTTACAAACGTTACCAGTTTGTTTCTGTCTTGGTTTCAAAAATAGTCCTTTGATCCCATAGGTTCTTAAAATTCCCAGTGTGATTACTTAACTCGCTCCAGTAATAAGAAGACTAGCCTGCTGGTTCTTCAGAATTACAGTAAAGCTAATTCAAAATAATATAATAATAATAATGTGTTATTAATCATTATCATAATTATGAGTTGTAAACTACTTAAATGAAATTGATAATAAATAAGATTATTTAATGTAATTCACATCATAGTAGTTGAGCCCGGCATGGCCAGGTGGTTAGAGCGTTCGACTCGCAATCTGAGGGTCAGGGGTTCGAATCCCCATCCTACCAAACATGCTCTCCCTTTCAACCGTAGGGACGTTAAAATGTCACGGTCAATCCCACTATTCGTTGGTAAAAGAGTAGCCCAAGAGTTGGCGGTGGGTGGTGATGACTAGCTGCCTTACACTGCTAAATTAGGGACGACTAGCGCAATTAGCCCTCGTGTAGCTTTGTGCGAAATTCAAACCAAACTAATTAATGATATAAAAAGCGCCCAGATTATCCATATGTCTGTCGTATCCCAGCCGAGTTGATGAGCCCAGGATATGACAGATCTAGTGTGGTTGACATATTACACATTCTTCTTTGTTTTCACTCATGCGCCAGTTCTTAGAATTAGTAACCGTACCAAGAATACACAGTTCTTAGTCATCATAAGTGCAAACTTTAAATGACGTGATTAGTGACTTGTTTGTTACATGTTTTATTGTGCAACAGATAGCGTGAAAATATGTGTTGTAGACAAAACATGAACGAAACTATGAGATAAGTCTATTCAGAGTAAGAATGGAGATTCAGTTAAACAATGGAATTAAATTACTGTATCTTAAGATAATTACTTGAAACTTAGTCGTTGACCAATAGTTGTTAGGTCCACAATTTTTATACCATTCAAAGCAAGCTAAACTATATAACGTTTCTATTATTTTAAGTGTCTTAACTTTTTATGACCTACATAACTTTAAACGTTTTATTACTACCGAATAGTTTGATGTTTTTATACGTCCAACTAGATATAATTTATTTTTGATTTTCTGTAAAAAAAGTTTATAGTTTGATAAAGTTGAAATATATATATATCTATATATCAGAAAAATGTTGTCTGTCCAATAGTAGCAATGAAAGAGCAGAGAGAGAATTTCTACTGAGAGAAAAAACGTACCTTATACTAGAAAGTTGACAATGATTAGCTATATATTTTGAATACAAAATAGTTTCTTATATTAAACCTGAACTAAAAATGTACAGATGAATTTCCTGAGCAACTTAAAGTATAATTAGTTAAAACTAAGGATTTTAGAATTACGGCAAGATCAGTCTTTTTGATTGCAATTTTTTTACAGATGACAAAGTGAGCTTTTAGTTAAAAGGACACTCAGAAAAAATAAAGATCTTGTAGTAACTGTTTCTATCAATTTATTTTAAAACTGAAGACAACACTAAGTTAAACTTTCTTCTAATCTGTTGCGAAGAATAGCTTATGCTGAAGAATTGCATTATAATTGACAAATCTGTAAAGGTGATAAACTTGCACTTTAAGAGTTGCTATAACTGTCTACAAATAATTTATAGTTAAAAATATTTCTAACTGAAAATATCAACTTAAAAAAGATATTTACGTATATGCGCGCATGTGTATTTTTGTGTAGATGTTTTATGCATAATACTAGTAAAGTGTCCGGCAGTGTGGGGTTTAAAACGTAACACTATAAATAGGAGACACGGACTATCTCTTTTCACGACATGAACTGTTCACCTGGAGCAAAGGCATCCGCACTACGCGCGGCATTAAACGTCATTTTCATTTAACGTAGACATCACGTATGTTTCTACAGACCTCTTTGTTCTCTTGAACCTCCATTAATGGCATTCAGAAAGATAAATTTAAATGTCGAACCTTTAGACCGATTGCGTGTTCATTTAAACCTGATTTGTGAGGAAAAGGAACTTGCTTCAGCCAGTGCCCCATAACAGCCTGTGGCGTCAGACAAACAGACTTTATATAAATATAGACAAATATATGAATATATGACATACATATACATATATATATATGTGTGTGTGTGTGTGTGTGTATATATAAGTTGGTAAACAAAGCTTAAGAGAACAGTAAATTATAATCTTATTTAAATGCTCAATTACCCAAGAAAACAACATTGACTTGAATATATACCGTGAGTACGCACATTAGTCTTAATATGCGATTTTTTATACATATCTGTACACACATTACGTATTTAAAGTTTCAGACACAATCATTGCCTTAAGGAAATACACAATGCGTTGAAATTGTGAATTAAGGCTGGATAATCAGATTTCGCGAGAACTCTCGAGACAACCTCGTGAACTGCTTATATTGTTTAAATAAAATTACTCAACCGAAAGACTGCCGCAAATAATTATAATGTTTGTTTTTGATAAAGTCTAACTGAAATAGTCGACACGGAACCTCAGTAGAAAAGAGAGCATTACTTATTAATGCTAAAAGATTAAAGACGCTAATTCTTGTTATTCCTTTCAGTGCTTTAGACTGATCATTTTTAATTAATATTTGAAATTTCCCTTCAACGCAACAAGAAAGAGATAAAACATCTCAAATAAAGTTTAATACGGTTTTGGTTGAAAGATGAATAGATGTTTAGATTTTTAAAAGTTTCGATTTAATTCTCCTTTCACTAGCTATAAACATTTATATTGGTACTAAAGTTAATCAGAAAACCGGAGCGACATAACAAGGTTGAAACTAACGAGACATTTTACATAACAATAAAGTCTCTACCGCTTAGCTTGAAAACAGTTATCGCTATAATAAAATAACAACCTCAGATACGACTTATAAGATGTCATTCCTCGTGTTATATCCTATGCAGGCTTAAGTAATGGTTACCATACCAGTGGCAAAGCGAGTATTTTATGTAAAATCTGGGTTTATTGGTTGGACGTCACCGCTCGTGATACTTAACCGTGGATGAACGACTTTCTGGTGTGTACGTTGGAAACACTTTTCTTTAGCAATAAATTCGGTTGAACTTATTCCGTACGGAACACTAAATAAGTCAACCGCAGAAGATAACAGATTTACAGTGAGTATGATTTAAACTGATAAACAGTAGCGTCTAATAAAGGTCTTAGCTATAAGGTGACTTCTACAGATGGATGTTTTAACCAATGAAAACTACTCTCTACTCTGTATTTATTAAGATTATGACCTTGAAGCTTGACTGCTTTAACCATTTTTAACATGCTGAAAATGTGAATTTTTTTTGTTAGACAAAATTAACTGTTTCGATGAACTGAAATTTAAATTCATTAAACGGTATACTCTTACCCTCAGTATTAAAATAGGATATTCTCAACCTGAATGACACCTTATGTGAACGCGAACTTAAAGATCAAGTCAGAGACCTCTAGTGTTCAAATATAGTTATTTCTAGTTTTGAAATATTCGTAGGGAATAAAGATAGTAAATAAAGAAGAAAAAAATGTTACTGTTGCTAGAAAACTTAATGTAAAATCGTATGTCTAATGATTCAGTCCAAAAGTTTCTCCTTTAAGTTTCTGATTTTATATTTGTTAGATGGACTTCATTGATTAAATGTTTAATTATTTTAAAGGTAAAAGAATTTAACACGATGCTCGAAAGATAATGTCTTTAATGTCAATCAGTCCACGAAAGACATTTTGATAAAAGCCGACAATGTACAGCATGAAAGACTTGTTGGTATAAAAAAGAATCATAGTCTCTGTTCATGTGAAACAATAACCTTACAACAATAAAAACAGTTCTCTGTCATTTCAGAGTTTCGTAATCGAAGTAAAAATAAGCGTTAAAAGCGATCGTTTCAGCACCTAGCTGTTTTTTCTAGACAGTAAAAAGACATGCGTTACAATTCTTTTTTTCGTCACATGATATTGGTAACAATCCAACACGAAAACTTAACTTTAGAGCTCATGAAGAATATCTCCGTTCTGACGACAAACTTAATAAGATACAGAAAGTGTTGATTTTTAGCCTTACCCGAAAGTGAAAACATGTAGTCAAGACAAGCTGGATAATAATAGGTTTGTGATAAGCTATTTTAACATTTATCGAACGAGGACTGTCCATCAGGGATTCGATCTTTTTTTTGACTGATGTCGATAGAAGTTTGTATGTAAGGAAAAATGTTCAAATACTATATGAATATCACAGTTATTAGACTCTAACAATTTAAAATAAAATTGACGTTTAATATGCAATTCAACTCGTTTCTTAACATTTAATAGGTAACTCAACTCTTCTTAATATTTAATAGGTAAATCAACTCTTCTTAATATTTAATAGATAACCCAACTCTCTTTTTATAGATAATTCAACTTTCATTTCTTGCCTTCATTTCTTTAAAATGACGATGCGATTTTTCTGCTAATAATTCTGTAATATCACTTTATGATATGTATTTTTGATTAATTGACGTGCTTATTTCAGTGAAAAATTTCCTTGTTCTTGATGAAAATAAACATGCTTAAAGTAGATATCACATGGAAATAAACACACATATATTCCTAAACAGAAAACACATGGAAATAAACACAGATATATTCCTAAAGCAGAAAACACATGGAAATAAACACATATATATTCCTAAAGTAGATATCACATGGGAATAAACACACATATATTCCTAAAGCAGTAAACACATGAGAATAAACACACATATATTCTTAAAGTAGATAACACATGGGAATAAACACACATATATTCCTAAAGCAGAAAACACATGAGAATAAACACACATATATTCCTAAAGCAGAAAACACATGAGAATAAACACACATATATTCTTAAAGTAGATAACACATGGGAATAATCATACATATATTCCTAACGCAGAAACACATGGAAATAAACATACATATTCCTAAATTAACTTGGATGCTCTTTCCTTCTGGGTTTTTTATTTTTTTATAGTATTTCGACTCCTCTGGATCCATCTACTGAACATATAAAGCAACATGTTCCAGTCTTTAATTCCAAGTGCCGAGCAAGACCAAAACATTAGCATGCTGGACTGTGGTTTGCTACTCGTTACTGAAAAACAACAACAAGTCTCAGATGCGTTATAAAAGTGATTGTCAAATCCAACTATTTCGTCCTACAATATTTAGCGGTGGGTACTGTTGACTAGCTGCCTTCCCTCTAGTGTCTCGGATTTGAACCATAGGAGAAAAACAACAACTATAGGATTAAAAACTAAATATTTCGAAGCAACAATAACCACTACAGAGTAAGAATACACCATTAATTCAGAACTAGAAATTCCTACAGAGGAACAATATACCACTAATTCACAACTAGATATTCCTACAGAGGAACAATATACCACTAATTCACAACTAGATATTCCTACAGAGGAACAATATACCACTAATTCACAACTAGATATTCCTACAGAGGAACAATATACCACTAATTCACATCAAAATTATCCTTCAAAATCAATATATTGCAGACTTGGGTTCTGTTTCGTTTATTGTTGTTGCTGCAGTCATGAGTTCCAACAGTAATAGTAGGGATATTCAGTAGTCTGGTTATTTAGTGATTAGTTGGAAGTTAAGTGGTGCTGTAATACATTATCTAATATGAATTTAGTATCATTTTGTATTAGTTCTGCCCATTTTTAGGATCCAGAAAACTCATAAGTTTCTTATGTGTAATGAAACCCTTCAGTCTTCATTAATGCTTACAATTAAAGATTTGTGCTTAAAAAGAAACGTAATGGCAGAGCTCTGGATTTCAAAGCTAGCGATTCTGGTTAGAATCAGTGCGGTGCTACAAAATATTTCTCGTACGTTAAATTATCCGTGGGTGCGTTATAAGAGTGGCAATCATTTCCTTAGCGTGGAAAGTCGGGTTCGAATCCCCATCACACCAAACATGCTCGCCCTTTTAGCCGTGGGGGCGTTATAAAGTGACGGTCAATCCCACTAT